ATCTTTTCAACCAGAAAAAGCATCTCTTTTTGGCTGGGGGAAGGAATCTCAGTTTATTCAACTTGTATCCTTTTTTGTAGACTGCTTTTTTTTGTCGTTGTTCGGGCTTAATTCCTTCTGCATACTTTTTTTTCGCGCTGTGTGTTACTAAGCGTGCCGTTGGCAAGCACCAGGGGGTGCACAAATGTCAAAGAGGGGGAAATTATCCTAATGGGGTTTGTTTGTGGTTCACCGTCACAACTATATCTCAATATGCGAATAATTCAATCTCATCATTTTGCTTAAAAAAAGAATTTCTTCTGTGTTTTTGTGAATTTAAGCTATCAAAGGAGCATTTGGCTCGCTGTGGGTGGTCATTATATTTCATTTTTTGAGTTGTTGGATGTGGCGGTAATACACGAGTATGAATTTAAATAATGAAAGAGCCTTATTGAGTTTCACAACCCCAAATGATTTTTCTGCCCACCAGTACATTTTCTTTTTTTTCTTGTCCCACAACTTTTTGCGTGGAGTTACCACGGAACGCGTCAACAGTTTTTTTGCTTTTTGTGGAAGTCCCTTTTTACCCTTTTTTCTTTTCTTTTTTCTGAATTGTTTTGGAAGTTTTTTGGCAAGGGAAATGGTCAGCATGTCCAATGAGCGTTTGGAATTTATGCGGCATCTCGGTATCACAGAGGAAGATGTAATGGATCCTTCGTTGGTGAAAGGCGCGAATGGGAATAAGAAAGGATTTAATGAAAGCCGTTTGGACGGTGGCCGGACCCGTGAAACCCCTCTGAATGTGAATTTTGTCAATACGTCTAGCACGGCATTTCCGATTGTTGATTCATCTGAATCCAACGTGAAGTCTTTAAAAAAAGAGAAGACGCCTCAATGTAAGGGAAATAATGGAATATGTACAGCTGGACTTTCACCTGAGCAGTTGAAGGTCGATGGAAACCGGGCATTTGGGGAGGGACGCTACCGCGAGGCATTAAACTACTACACGGATGCCATAGAGCTTCTTCTTGAAAAAGGTAATTACCAATTGAGAGAGAAAGGTCATCTAAATGCGAAGAGTAATGGGATCATTGCATCTGGATTTGGTGCATGTGACCCAAGGACTGTTTTGCTTGCTGCGTTGTTCAGTAATCGGTCGGCTTGCTATCTTCAGGCTGCAAAACAAATAGGAGCAGCTGAAGCTCTTGAAAGTGCCATCCGAGATGCGGATCGAGCGGTTGAGCTCCGTCCAACGTGGTTTAAGGGCTATTCTCGTCAAGGTGATGCATTTTTCAAGATGAAGAAATACAGTCAGGCAGCAGAGGCGTATGAAATGGCATTGCAGTTCGACCCTGGAAACAACAATCTTCTTCAGTCGGTAGAGGAAGCTCGTCAGCGTAGTGCGACAAAGGCTCGGGAGAGTATACAGAGCACAAAAAAACAAGCCACTGTGTCACGTGGGGAGAGAAATGCCGCCTCGGTTACATTTGTTCCAGTTGCGGTTCACGCATCTGCTAATGTTTCTTGCAACAATACATCTATGGGAAGGCGTGATAATGTACAGTTCAAAACTACTGCGCGACAGCTTTGGAATGAATTTAAACCCGAGGTTGAAGCTTCTGTTCACCAACCTACTGGTGATGACTACAGAAAAGAACAATTGCGATTATTTCGCGAGCAGAAAGAGCGGGAGAGGAATGGAGTTGTAATACCACCCAGTGGTGATAACCGCAGCAACGAAAAATCACCTTTGAAGGAGAATGCGACAGAACAGAAATGTTCGGGAGTTAATGTTCCAGGAACCAACACAACTCCCAGGAGGGGGCGACTTGACTTTATACCGCAGGAGTTTTCATCAGATGCAGCTGCGGCATACCAGCAGCGTCTTATTGAAGAATATAGGCGGAGAAAAGCACAACGTATGTAGGATTTTACGATACCGCATTTGATGTAAAAATGGTACAGAATAATAGTGAAAGAAAAACAACAACGAACTATATCCTCTTATATATATTTTGAGGGCATACGATGTTATCAAAGAAGAATTTACGATAATAGTTGTGGAGGATGGGAAGTCGCGCAAGATATTGCGATGAAGCTTTGAAAAAAAAAAAAAGTGTTTTGAATGCGCCTTTTATTACGGCATTTAGTGCACTTGCTTTTTATTTTATTTGATGTGGATCTCTTTTGCTTACATTGATGCTTTTTAGAACAGTTTCTAGGGTAAATCAATGGCAACCGCCTATTTGCCTTACTACGACTGCATCAAGTGCACGTTGCACGCGGCTTTGTGCATCGGGAATTATCCTTCATGTACCGTGGAGCGTCATAATAAACCAGAAGTTGAGGTTGCAGACCATCTGGAGAATAATGGTGAAATAAAAGTACAAGATTTCCTTCTTAACCCCATACGCATTGTGCGTTCAGAACAGGAAAGTTGTCTTATTGAACCTAGTATAAACAGCACACGCATATCTGTATCGTTTCTCAAGAGCGACGCTATTGCAGAGATTATTGCCCGAAAGTACGTTGGATTTTTAGCTCAGCGAGCCAAACAGTTTCACATCTTGAGAAAAAAGCCTATTCCGGGATATGATATAAGTTTTTTGATTTCTCACGAGGAAGTAGAAACAATGCATAGGAATAGGATTATTCAATTTATAATTACTTTCTTGATGGATATTGATGCTGACATTGCTGCAATGAAGTTGAATGTGAATCAACGTGCACGTCGAGCAGCGATGGAATTCTTTCTTGCATTGAATTTCACATGAGCTTTGTTGTGTTTTTCTCCTTTCATTTCTTTTGAAATATGCTTCTTAAACCTGTTCCGGCAGTTATGAATAACCCATTCTTGTGTTTTTTTCTGTTATATATATATATCAACTTTTTTGTCTTAATTTGCTTCTATTGAGATGGTGGGGAGGTGCCGAACTAGTTTGGAGGGAGAGAGAGTGTGTGTGTATGCGTGTGTGTGTCTGTGAATGTATATGTCTGTGTGCGCAAGCAATAGTTTTTAAAAGGAGTAATGCTGTCAGTGAGAAGGGTATCAGAGGTATCAGCTCCGTCAACATGTAACTGCCTTGTTCCAGTTTACTCCACAACATATGGGGCTCAACTGGACTTTATTGCTGGTTGTTACGAATTTATGGATTTATCCCTTGAATCTACTACTGCGGGATACCGTGGTTGTGTCACCGGCTATATATGTGAAGTAAACGATCAACATATAGCTTCATTACGGGAGATGAAGTTGGTATCGGAAAATGTTCCACGAGTGGATTTGCCGGGTATTTTTGATCTTAATGCTTTTCCTGACGGGAGCCGTTTGATGGCGAGTTGCACGGACGGCACTGTGCGGCTCCTGGGGCATCAAGAAGGATCCTTTAAAGAGGTCGTATTCCCCGTGCATAGCACTACGCTGACTAGTTGTATTCCTTTTTATTCTTCCTCTGAGATCGGGATGAGCCAGGCCAGGTGGCTCTGCACTGCTCATCAAGGTGCTGTCGTTGTATATGATCCAAATACGAAGAATATTATCAGTAATTTGGAAAACCATGATTACGATGCATGGTGTTCCGCCACAATTGGCCCTGAAACAGCACTCTCTGGTGGGGATGATGGTTTTCTAAAATGGCGAGATGTAAGATGTGGTGTAAATGCTGTGGGTCGAATGCAATTTGGGGCCGGAGTCGTCTCTATCGCTCCTGTCGCTCAGGGTGGAATTGCATCTACATACTCCTTAGTCGGATCCTATGATGAGAACTTATTTTTGGTAGATTCACGATCACAAAAACGGCCAATCACTTCCATTGGTTTGGGTGGTGGGGTGTGGCGCTGCTCACGCCAGTTATCTATCAAGGGATTGAGACCAGAGTCAGAGTCCGCGATGCATCATTATCGTTGGGTACAACCAAGTGGTACCCTTGTCATTCCAGTCATGCAACGGGGAGTGGCATTTGTGCAGCACAACATTTACGTATCGGAAGAAAACGTTTTTCGTTTTCTTGGGTATCTTCACGATGAAACAAGTACTACGGAAGCTGTTGGATTGCCTCCCAATGCACTTTTTTACGATTGCGCCATCCTTCCTCGAAGATCACCCCCTAACAAAGATCTGTCAGATGATGCCGCTTCGGTAGTTACTTGTGACTTTTACAATAAGAGGATTGCGTTATGGGAGGTGTCTGGGATTCAACACAACGCTTAATAATATAAACATATAAGAGAAGTGCGAAAAAAAAAAAAAAAAAAAAAAAAAAAAAATAGAAAAGTCTCAACGTGATAATAATTATAATATATAACAGAAGCAAATTGGAAGATGTGTATGATAATGTCAATAATGAGGAACTAATTGGGGATTGGATGTATTTGTGTGCGTGTGTGTATGTGTGCCTTGTATGCTTCCCTCTTCTTGCTGCTTTTGTGTGGGTGCTTCTTGTTGCTGTTTTTTGGTTGACAAAGAGGGAGTACATTGAGGAAGATTATAGGGGGTTATTCGAGAAGTGGACAGGCATGTCCGAAACTCAAAGGCAACGGGGATCTACAAACCGGCTCTTAGTCCTCAGTACATGCGTGCTCTTATTTCACGTCTTGACGTCTTTAGTGCAGGAGGCGGTGTTTTACATTCCCGGCTTTCACCACACGCTGCTGCTCACTTTTTCACAGGCGCTGTGCGTATCCTGTTTTGCTTTTGTTCAACTTTGTCGCTCATTGTCCGTCCCAAGCAGTTCATCGCCTTGGCGACGAATTGTGGACTCACGCCGTGTGCCACTTTTTACGTACTTCGCGATTTCTTTGATGAACACCACAAGCGTGTACCTAACGAACGAAGCATCACGCCTTCTTAGTTTTAGTACACAAGTGGTGTTCAAGTCCAGCAAGCTGCTTATTGTATGGCTTGTGCGTTACATCGCGATTGAACTACCAGCACGTCTTGGAATGGCGCGTAAGGTTTTGAAATGCGCTGAAAATGGGGCGAGGAATTACCGGCGCAGCTCCCATACTGAATTTCTTTCTGCTGAAAAGCAATCTGGACACGTCTCTGTGAAAGTATTGGACTCGATGGTGGAAGGCCGGGTATCAACGAAAGAAAGTCCGTTGGGTTCTGCTGACATAGGTGGCCACATCAATAACTGCGATATTGCCGTAAATTTCTCCGCTGGCAATAATAGTAATGAAACCAGTGTGAATGGAATCGTGGCGATGGAAAATACACAGATTGTGAAGGAAGTGTTATCTTGTATCATTGTTGTTGTGGGTCTTTTCATTTTTACATACGCCACGAAGGAAACGCACAAGAAAAAGGGTTCATTGAAAGAGGAGGGTTGGTTGCCGGTCATTTCAGGCGTCACAGGTATTTTGCTTGCGTTAATTTGTGATGCCCTCATTTACTTGGGTGAGGAGAAGTATTGCTTCATGAAGCACAATGCATCACATGAGGAAGTGCAATTTTATATTTTCCTATTCTCATTAATCAATGGTTTTTTTTCATTGGCCCTGAGCGGAGGCATTGCTGATGCCGTGGAGTTTGTGAGCATGCACCACGTGTTTATCACCTTGTTGCTTGGCTGTTCTTTCTTTAGCTACAGCGGTACCTTTTTCCTGCTGCGCATCGTCTCTGAGTATAACAGCAGCACCGCTGCCATGGTTACAAGTGTGCGCAAGATGATGACGGTGCTCTGCAGCTACATTGTATACCCAAAGCCGTTTGGATTCCTACACTTTTTGGGTGTTACCTTTGTGATGGGCGGCATATGGCAGTACGAAGAGGCACGTAGGATGCGCAACACACCTGCCGAGAGGAATAAAGCTGATACAGTACATAAGGAGGATGAAGTATGCGTATAAAACCGAAAAGATAATAACACATGGTGCTGTTCATGTTATGTCCTTCTTTTTTTCTACTTTTTGTGCATACTGTTTTATTTCCTTTTTTCTCAATGGATGAAAAAATATCCACTTTGGGAACTTGACATATATCTATATCTATCTATATCTATCTATGTCTATCTATCTATCTATCTATATATATATATATATATATATATTCCTTTGGAAAATAGTAACATTGACAAAATACCAAGGCAGTGACAATATCGTGCTACAAAATTTTTTCTAACGGACCCAGTGTAAATTTCTCAGTTGGCTTTCAGAGTGGGTATTGATGCCATTGTTTTTTATTGGCCACCTTCACGCGATTCAGGATGCTTTTTCAAATATAATTTTTTAGAGATTACGAAAAGAATGGCCCGAAAAAAACTGTTTCCGGTAAATACATGCAAATACATTTTTTTTTTTTTTTTAACGCACTTTAAAAATTACCCTTTCCGTCTTTATTTAATGATCAAGGTGAACGGGAATCCAGTGTGGACGCTTAGTTTTTGAATGTATAAAATACATTTCATTAACAAAAGGCAAAACGGAGGGAAATGTCAAAAAAGTTTTTTTTTTTTCCTTTAAATTCCGATCTCTCTACCAGGGAAAGACGATTCATGGAGTATTCTTTTAAAAAATAACGTGTTGCTGCATGTTTGTTTCTCTTGGTTATTCCATTCTCTTCCATTTTTTTTTTTTTTTTTTTTTTCACTTCCTCAAACATGTATTTATAGTACAAACCTGCAAGGTTTATCCGTGAGGTAGATAGAGATATAATAACCCCAATATTTGGGACGCCTTGTCATTGGTGATATTTTGTTGACGCTATCGTCCTCATCATGCCTGTGGCGACTGCGCCATCACTACCCAATCTTTCTGCACCCCCTGTTGGTAATATAGAGATTAACGCCCCTGCGGCGATGGTGACTGAAAAGGAACCCACACCAGACGCTGGCGTAAATAGTACTCCTAATAGCGTTGCTAATACCGCTGTAGAGGTTTCTTCGGCTGGGGGCGGTAACGGCGGTGTCACCGTGTCGCGTGAGGAGCGTGAGCGGCAAATAAAGCTTGGGCTTTTGCTTGTGCGACTTGGCGGTGCGAAAGAGACGGACGTCTTTGGGGTGCGTGGGCTGGTTGTACCTCCGCGCGACCTCCTTGTCATTCATCGCCCAGAGGATGACGCGGAGGCGCGGCGGCCCTTTAGGTGGTACGACCCAATCTCTTGGTTTCTCAGCGGCCCACGGCCTTCCCCAATGAGATGGAGTTCGACCACAGCTATTTCAAAGCCGTCACAAGCGGTACCACAGAAAGTCACAACGAAAAGTACAGCTTCAGTGGCCTCTGCTATCGATGCTTCTAGTGTCGCTGCCACTGTTGCTGCTGCCACCACTACTGCAGCTGCTAGTCCAAAGGTGAAGAAAAAACGTCCTCTGCCTGCTGTCAACATGCAACCACTAAAAGATGATGAGACACTAGAGCCTGTGGTGAAAGAGGAGCGGGAGAAGTTGCTCAAGGACGAGGCGGCGGTACACGGTGTTCTGGACAGCATTGAGGAGGCCCGCTACAAATATTTGGTCCCGTCGCGGATCCTTGGTTGCGAGGCGGAGGTGATGTCTGTTTTGCAGTGCTACATCAAAAGTAACGCTGCGGCAAGAAAAATAGCAGACGCCGAAGAATCATTATTACCCACAGCACTTCCAGCGGCAGCGGATGTGTTGCAGTGTGGGCCTGTTGTGGCGCTGCTGAAACGGTGCGCAGAGGGAATGGTTGCATCTTATAGTGAGGCCGATGGCGGCCACCCATAATAGGCGTGTGGGGGAGGGCAAGAGGGAGGGTATGGTTGTATGGAGGAGGCGTAGAAGAGGCAGCAACAGAAGCAGAAAATGTTTTTAGGGTACGAAAATAAAGTGTGGGTGGGGAGCTGGAAGGGAGTGAGAGAATAAGAATGACGACGTCTGTTCCTTGGTCAGATGGTGTTGTAGTGAGTTTTTCATTCTTCTTCCTTTTCATTTTTATTTTTTTGTTTATCTTCCTTTCATTTTCGCTTCTTTTCTGTATTTGCGTCTGCTTTCATGATGATTATGATGGTCTATCGGTATGGTTTTTATTGTTTCCCGTTCTGGTGGGAGACAGTGCGCCTGCTCACGTTTTTACACTACACACATGTATTTATGTATACTCATGCATGCATGTGACTGCTCTTTGGGTGTTGTGTCCTTAAAATTTTTTCCCCTAAGGGTGTTAGGTGATATAAAAAAGGAAAAACCAATAATTTGCCTGCGGCATAAGTGCAAGAGGCAGGAAACAGCGGAGAACATAAATAATACACTGAGGGGAAAAGAGAAAGAGGATAAGAGGAGAAAAAAAAGAAGGGTTGAAGAAAAAGAAAAAAAAAAAAAAGACGGTGAGAAATGCGCCGGACCGCATCGCATGCGAAGATTGTGCAGCGGCATGAACGTCGAAAGGCTTCTCGTGAGGCAAAGGCGTCGGCAGCACGCTTCAGCTCCAAGCAAAGCCGGTTTCAACTACGCCAGGAGGAGATTAATGTGCAGGAGGCACTACAGCCTGTGACATCATCGTTTCTGCCAGCGAGCAGTACTAATACTAATGATACCGCTACTAGAATGACGAATATTCCATCGTCAGTGACTCTCAGTCGCTTTGAGCGGCCGCCCGCTGCTGGGACCAATTCGGCAGGTGGGGAATCAGGGAGACGTCTGGCCACAACGGCGAAGGCAACATTTGGTCTTGCGCCCTCACGGCCCACTGGGATGCATGCGGCAGACTCCCGCAGCACGCGTCGTGCGGCGAAATTTCGTCTCGATGACAATGGCCGGTCCTCTGTGTCACAGTCACTTGGTGCAGGACTGCTCGGGGCCACCCGCCGCACGAGGGACGACGACGACGGCGGTGATCTGGATAAAGACGGCAGGAATGATAGCGGTGAACCGCAGCGGAAGAAGACGCGTGAGGAGCGATTTCGAGAGGTGCTTGCCAACAGCAAAGAGCACCGTGCACAGGCACAGCGTGATCGTGAGGAGCGCGCGCAGCGAACGACTGCCCTTGATGCGGAGTTCAATGGTGTGATGCACTTACTGGAGCGGAGGGACAAGGCACAGGAAGAGCGCGAGGCCTTTGCACGCATTGGAACACCACAGGTGCGAGCATTGCTTCAGTCTTTTCGAGAGAACCACGTAGCGAAGACGGTCTCGCTGCGAAGTGATGGCAGTTTTACCATTGCTCCGCTCGTTGGCAATAACAATAAAACTAGAGTGAAGACTGGTGCGTCTTCCCTGGACGAGGCGAGTATGGCACTGTTGGAAAAGATACGCGAGGAGGCGGATGAGCAGGATGGAATCACAAACTCGGTACTTTCCTCGCACACTCTGCAGAAGAAAGAGCCCAAAGTGGAGGGGGATTCACTCGTTAGGAAGAGCAGCGGCGTTGAAGATGGTGAAGAGGATAAGGATGATTTTGATCGCATGATGCTTTCTATGCGGCGTGAAACGAGGCGCGCAGTTGCTGGTGAGCGTACACGGACAGAAGAGGAGGAACAGGCACAACTTGATCAGCAGGCATTGCTTGAGAGAGACCGTGGTGCCGTGCCACTTCTCGCGCAAGAAGAAACGCAATTGACACGTGCGGAGTGGCTAAGCCGGGGTGGGGATCGCGCGTACCAAATGCAGGACGAGGATGACAATGATGACTATGGCGGTGAGGTGGAGGACTCTCTTGACATTTCCTCTGCGTGCGATAGCGACGAGGTGGCGTTGCTGGATGGGGCGATGGGGGTGAATGACGATGCTGATGATGTCACGGCAGCTGATGCGGATGGCAGGGCTACTGACGTTGCCACAGGGACAAGGGCACGTCTGGAGGATTTGTTGTCTGCAATTGAGGCGTTTGGTCGTGAGGCAGACGGGGCACGTGCCTCGCGAGCTGAAAGAACTCGCAAATACTATGCGCTGCTGCGGAGTCTTTACCAGTACGCTCGCGATCACGTTTTGCACACCGCACAAACATTTCGCCTTCTCCTCATTGAGGCTCAGCGGAGTTTCCTGCAACACGGCTCACTGGACCGGGCTACGCTTTTACTCCTGCACTCCGCCTCCCGCATATTCCCCATGACAGATTATCGTCACGAGGTGTCAACACCGTTTCTCCTCTTTCTTTGTTCAGCATTGTTGCAGATGCGACTGAAAACGTTCGCACAAGTCCGGGAGTATACGGTACTCGCCGGTCTGTTGTGTGAAAGTGTACTGGCCGGTGGTAAATTTTGCGCGGAGTCCATCATTGCCCCGCTCAACCTCATCGCCTTGCAGGTACCGAGGTCGGTTTTGGAGCCCGTGCGTCTGCAAGGTGTCTGCGTGCCATTTCCAGTTGTGGAACGCGGCGGGGCAGAAGATGTTCTCCTGCACACCAACACGGATACCCCGAGCGACGCGGAAGAAGCGCCGCTGCAGGCGACCTTTGCTTTACTAGAGACGGAAGTGAACAGTACAAATGTGGTGCGTTACGCTTATCGCCTACTTTCGCTAATGGCAGATTCCCTCCGTGGAGTACCGGCCCTTTCGTATTGTCTGAAGGAGCCATTTCTCGCCCTACACGAGAAACTCATTGCGACCGATGTGTGGCAACCGTCTGCGTCTGTACGAGGCGACCACGATGCCCTCCTTGCGAAGTTGACGCAACTAGCCAATGACGCACGTGATCGTCGCACACCGCTTGCGATGCGTTCCTTCCGCCCACGCCCCATTCGTCAGTTTGAGCCATTGCTGCAGGAGGGAACGACAACGGCGCTGAAGAATGAAGTGCGGGCGATGAAGCGGGAGATGCGGGAGGACCACAAGCGCTTCGTGCGTCACTTGCAGGCAGAGGCAAATGTCGAGCGGCGGCAGCGCGAACGGGCAGCGGAGGCGGAGGAGTCGCAGCGCACGCAGAAGTACCGCGAGCTGATGGGGTCATTGCAGGCGCAGCAGCATGTCATGAAGACCGTTGATGGATTACTCGATAAGGCGCGGTCGAAGAAGCGAAAGAGCCTCACCGGTCGCGCCGGCGGAGACGCAGCGGACGGCAATGCGGAAAACTGAACAGAGAGGATGCGATATGTGTTTTTGCCTTTCTCTCTCTCTCTGTGTGTTTGTATGTTGCAAGTCCAATGCGGCTGAGAAAAAGGGGGAAGAGGCGAGAATGCGGTTTTGTTTCTTTTTAAACCTTTTTTTTTTTTTTTTTTGAAAGAAGGAGAAAAACAAAAACAAACCTTACATGTTTTTTTCGCTGCCGCCGATGGGGTTCGGACAAGGAAAAGAAAAAGCGAGGCTACAGCGTCTCTGGTTCCATGGGAGTTTTAAGACGAGTAAATATAACGAGAAAGGCATGAAAAAAAGAAAAAGGGAAAAAAGTTGCCGGAATAACGTTTTTTTTTTTTGAAAGTGAAGGCTGCCAGTGATCGAATTCTGTCACGAGATTGAAGAAAATGTGAGGAGAAGGGGGCGGAACGCGATTTTTTTTCTCTTTCTCTTGATGCAACCTTTTTTTTTTTTTTTTTAATTTTTCTTTTCTTTTTTCTTTTTTTCCTTGCCGCTGCTGCTGCTGCTGCTGCAAATACCACGCATGCACCTAATGCTCTTTTGCGAGAGAGAGAGAAGGGAGGAAGGGGGGTGGGTGGATGCAGGAAGTGACAGTGTATGCGACGGCGATGCAGGCGGTCCGGCGCACAGCCGACAATTGTCGCCGTATGTTAGCGCTGCTTGACGCGTTTGGCGTGGCCGTGTCAGTTGTGCTTGTTGACTCGCTTGAGATGCGGACATTTGTGCAGGAATTGTTGGCCAAACAGGAGGCTATCGGGTGGCGAAAGCAACACGGCGGCGGAATGACTCCAAACTTCCAGCTGCCGCTCTGCTTTGTTGGCCCCGTGCTAGTGGGCACGTACGAGGAGGTGGCAGAACTCAATGAGACGGGAACTCTGCCGAAGTCGCTGCGCGCGGCGGGGTATGGTGGTGTGTTTCGGGCTGCCGTTCATGACGACATCCCTGTGGGCAACGCGGCGGCACTTGCAGCAGCTGCCGCATCCCACCCTGTAGGTGGTGAGGGGGGATACGGCGGCGAGCGTAGCGGCAATGACGGTACGAAGGCGGCAGATGCGGACGTTGACGATAGCAACAACAAAAATAGTAATAATAATGACGATGAGGATGGGTCTGAGGATGAAATTCCGCCACCGCCGCCGTCGCCGCCGCCACCACCAGATGAGGACGAGCTTAACGACGGAACTGACAGTCCCTTGCATAGAAGCGACGTGGATAAAGGCAATAAATTTGGTATTGTTGACTTTGAAGAAGACGACGACGAGGAACCGCCGCCCCCACCGCCGCCCGACGACGACGAGGAAGAAGAAGAAGAAGAGTATGATGAAAACGAATTTCCACCACCATCACCTCCACTAGAGGACTGAGACGGAGCTAACGACACGAATAGACGAAAATGTGCATACATGTCTTCTGCTGTGACTTGCAGAAACAGGACTCTCATGCCAATAATAATAATAATATCAAAGACAAATAAAGCAAGAAAAAACGAAAAAAACAAACAAAAGCGTGTCGAAGGGAAGACGGGGCGCGGATTTATTTTGACATTTCTATTTCTCAACCCGCTTTTACTTCCAAACACACACACACACATACGCACACACAAACATTCTTTTTTTTTTTTTTTTGTTCTTTTTCTTGGATTTTCAACAATAACCACAACCGTAAATCATCACAATTTACCGGATTGACGGTCACCATTTGTGCATTTTGTCAAGAAAAGAACAACTGTGGTTTAAGGGTTAGGGTGGTTCACGCTTGAGGCCAAAATGAACGCCAGGGCGTCTGTAGTGTCACAAGATCACCTGCCGCCACAGAAACAAACAAGTCCTTCTTTCTTTATGAAGGTATTTAAGGGCCACGCTGGCGCGGCCACAATGGCAGGTGCGTTTGAGATTGCCTTATTTCATCCCTTTGACACTGTCTCGAAGCGACTCATGAGTAACCGCACTCGCATTCAGAGCGTCTCATTTGCAGATACCTTGCGGAATCTGAACACCACAATATTCAGTTCAAGGGCGGATGCCAGTGTGGCACAGAAGTTCTTGTACCTTTATCCCGGCTCCTCCTATGCTGTTTTCTACAAAATCTTGCAGCGTGTCTTCAAGTTTGCGGGGCAGCCATTAGTGCGGGACCATCTGCAGACACACAATCAACAAAGCTTCACGGATGCCTTTGGTCGTCGTGACAAGTTGATGATGGAATCCATTGCTGGATCCATCATTGGGGTTGGCGAAGTTATTCTACTACCACTGGATCGCCTTAAGGTGCTCAGTCAAACCAACGAGGCGGCACTGCGCCATGGTCTGCTTCAGTTGCTGCGCCAAGAGGGTATCAGTGGCATGTACGCAGGCACTGTGGTCACAATGACTCGCAACGCCCCCGGCTCCTTCTGTCTTTTTGGCGGCATGGCCGTTACGAAGGAGTTTGTATTTGGCCTTCAAGAATACCGCAAGGCGACGTTTCTTCAGAACGTGTGCGCCTCAACGGTAGGCGCCTGTCTAAGCATCACCGTGACGAACCCAATGGACGTCATCAAGACACGCGTGCAGAACAAGGACCCTGGCGCCAGGATGGGCGCCGTCACGATACTCTCGCAGCTGCTGCGGGAAGAGGGCTGTTCTGCATTGTTTAAAGGCCTTGTACCGAAAGTGGTCGCATTTGCCCCGAAGCTTATTTTTTCGTACACCATGACCGAATTTTTTATACAGCTTATGAACAGCAGGAACGCAGAAAGGAAACTGTTGAAAACTTGGTAAGCTTCTTTCAATCTGAATTGTTGTTAATTTCCCACGAAGGGGGGAAGGGAGGAGACCCACACTCCCTTTTGCAGGGCAATTTGGAGGGGAAGGCGTGCTGGACTATTTGTATGTGTGTGTGTGTGTTTGTGTGTTTGTTGGGGCGGGGAGGAAAGGAAAGGCAATAGAGAAAGAGGATAAGAGGCTTTATAAGCAACGAAAAGAGAAGAAGAGAACCAGGTGGAGAGTATTAAATAATAATATTAAGGGGATTGGTGGTGGGAGGATGCAAAAGAGAATAAAATTAGGGAATTACCACATGTGAAACCCTCCAAATGGGATGGGTTTTGCAAATGATATCACGCAGTCGCACTGTGCGTGATGATTGATAATGACGGTCTGATGGTGGTTGGAAGAATAAGTGGTGAGTCACAGAGACGAAATTTACGAAGGAGTTTTTTTTTTTTTTTTTTTTCTCTTGTGGTCTTCTTTTTTTTTTCTCTTCTTCTTTTTGATCCGTCATATTTGTTTTTTCTTGTGGCTATCAGCGTTACTCTTTTTATTTTATTTTTATGTTGCATTAGCTTTTTTAAAAATATCATATTATTTTATTTTTGCCTTTCCTACGGCCGCACAAGAAGGGGGGACGCCCCTTTATTGTTCTCCGGAAGCCTCTTTTACTTGTGTTTCCACACGCTTGTGTGTGTGTGTGTGTGTTCGTTTGACTCGAGGGGAAGGGGAAGAAGACGGTGCGATGACGCGGCGGCATGATGGTCACCACGACACGCACGCGCGAATACTGACGGAGCATCAGGAGTTACTGGAGTCTAGTATCAGCGAGCAGCTGGGCCCACTGGCGGGGTTTCTCGTGCATGCACTTAACCGGCGCGGCCCCTTGACGCTAAAAGAAGTTGCGGATGCCGTAAAGCGTGAGCCGTTTAACAATCCACTCCATACTGGCGATGCGACGAAGCACATCGGGTGTCCACTTGCCGTCCCTGTGACGGCGGGTGACATGGCAACGGATGCAGCAATCAAGGAGATTATGGCACGGCTCGTGCTACATCGTGTTGTGTGCTACGATACGGAGAATCACGTTTATAGCGTTGCTCTTGGCTACGGCCTTTTTTTGCGTACTCTGTTTCCGCTGGTGATGCAATTTTTTCAGCGTCGTTACGGTGAGACGGGGGTGACGCTGCTGATGGTGTTCTATCAACTTGCGACGGTGCCGCGGGATGCGGCGGTGCGGCTGGCGATGGAGCGGCGACCAGCACTCAGCGAGGCCCTGCGACACTGCGCGCACGAGATGGAGCGGCTAGGGTTCATTGAATATTTTTCCGCAGGAGGGAGCGCTGAGGCGGCGGCAACGACAACAACTCATTCAACAGGTCTCTCACCGGATCCCTGCCGCCTCCATGTTGGCAACATCCTTGCCGAGATGCTGCATGACGCTATTCAGCAACAACTTCTTGCCGAACGTTTTGCAGATGGCGGTGTGGCGGCTGCTGTGATGGAGGCATTCACGACGGCGACTCGTACCCGCCGTTTAGTGGAGCGCTCGCACGGGTTTCCCCCCGTTCATCCCCGCACAAGCGCCTCACTGCCCCTGCGTGTTCTGCTGCGGGAGGTCCCAATGGCGGAGGGTGTTGTCGTGGAGGCTGTCAGCCGCATGTGTCGTCCCGACGGCGACTCTCTCCTGAGCAATGATGGCACTGCCACCGTGGCTATTGAAGGCCCATACCGTTTCCGTTACGATGCCGCCATAGAGGCCATGCAGCGAGATTGTTGTGAGCGTCTTGTTTTTGCGCGACACGGGGTGCTGGGCGTGCGGCTTATGAAATTGCTGCTGCAACACCACAACATGGAGGACCGCATGCTGGCGGAAGAGGCCATCGCCACGCTTTCCCGCACCCGTGAAGTGTTGCACGCCATGTTGCGCGACGGATATGTTCGACAGCAGGAGGTGCCGAAGAGCGGTGTTATGGCAGACCGCCAACCGAAGAACTCCGTGTTCTTGTGGGGCTGCAGCATGGAGAAGGATCTGCTACCAGCAGTGCGCATGCAGGTCGCCAAGGCTCTTCGTATTTCCCTTGCACGGCTCTCAGTGGAAAGGCAGACGGCGACGAGTAAAGTGGCATCGTTTACTACTACTACTACTACTGGTAGTAACAATAATAATAATCATCATAATAATTGTTGTGCCGCCTCGTCCACGGCGGCAACGAGCGTTGCAGCGGGTCTTTCCTTGACAGCAGGCATACGAGGGGATACAGGGGAGGTGATTGCTGAAACGCTGCGATGCCAGCGCGCGGTGGCGGCTTTGGAGAGCTCCGTCTCTGCATTGATGGGTACGATGTTGGTGCTTGACTTTTACTAAACAAGAGGAAGATAAAAAAGAAAATAAAAATTTGTGCTATTTTTGATGAGGCGTGAATCATTAGAACTTTTTACATATGAGCGTCATTTTCTCCTCTTGCTCCTTCTTTTTCTTTCTCTTTTTTTCTCTTTTTTTTTTTTGTGTGTGCGTGTGCACCCTAGCAGGGGTTGTCATGCTGTCACTGCCGCATTGTCGTTTCTTCACCTTGTCCCTTTTTTTTTTTTTTATTTTTATTTTTTCTTGCCTGCAGAGGTATCTCACTCTCACACTCTCTCTTTTATTTGCCTGATTATTAATTCTGCTGTGACGATGTGGACTCCGGAGCCTCCCCCCAGTAAGGACGCCGTGCGTAACTCCATATTGGCCCAGTTGAACACCATCAGGACTGCAGGGAGGGGCCGCCGCGAGTCGTCTGAACATCTGCAGTCGCAGTCGCAGCACTCTCCGAGCTTTCCTTCCTCCCCATCTCATATTAGTACTGGACATGGCCGTCGGGCTAATATAGGGTCTCTTTCCCCGTCGGCTTCTCCAAGAACGCGACGTTTGCCGCCGATATTCGCAGAACAACGACATAACACGGCCAGCATCCGCCATGTATGCGGCGGCCTCAATGAGATACTGCAAAAGCTTGACTTGGACTTTGCGCATGTTGGCGGTAAAATTCGGGCTGCGATAAATACAGACGGCGTTTTGGGTCGACCCGATATGCCCGGGGCGGCTACCATGCGGCTGCTGCAGCTTCGCTCACGTCGTCAGTTTCTTGCAAAGTTGCAGCGCACCCCGCCTCGAGAACAGATCTCTACGGAGGAAGAGACGCGTAAGGGGGCCGTCTCGGAGGAGTTGCATGATGAGATTCACCGTGCACGTCTCGCGGCTGCCGACGAGGGGCTGAGTGACGAGCAGTCTGTCAGCGACTACGCGGAGGAGCCGGATGTGCCTCGCTTTGCCCCCGCCAGTCGACTGCGGGATGAAGTGGAGGCGATGGAAGCCTCGTTGCGAAAGATCAGCGAGTGCGTTACGGCCATGTCGGTCATCGAAAACTGCGACGCCGGCCAACCGTGGTGGGAGTCCGCTATGCGAACACGCGAGATGAAGGCGCTTGGTATTCGTGCCAACTACCATGCGCGTTCTATTGTCAAATGGAACCAACGAGCCCGCGAGCACTTTCTTGTTGAGGCAGTCACGTCGAATGAACAGATGGAGCGGTGCCGGACAGACATGTTGTACCTCCGCGAGCAACAGGACCTCTTTCAAAAGCGTATCGAGTTGTGCCACGAGGAACAGGCCAGTACCGCGGAGGAAATGAAGACAGTACAGGAGTTGCTCTACGACATCAACCGCTTTAAGAGTGATTTGCAGCAGCAGCTTTTGGGCGTGGCGCACGAGCGGCGTCTATTGCCGGACGAATGCGAAGACGCCAGGTTGGCGGAGTTGGTGCTGCTACTGGAGCATGTAAACTGGCCAGCGTCGCTACGGCCGGATGTTGAATGTGTAAAGGAATGGGTTCGTGAGAACGTCATCCCACTTGATGTATAGTCACGGGAACATTGCAGTTGCAACCGCAAAGGACGGCACTCAGGCTGAAGCGCCAAACAAGTAAGAGTATGCCATGCATGTTTGTCATGCCTTTTTCTGGTCCATCTGCCTCATGTAGCATGCAGCTCAGTTGCAACCCCTTTTGGTTTGGCTTCTCCATTTTTTTTTATTTTTTTTTATTGTTTCTTCTGGACGCACTATCACTTGCAGTGTTTACTAGGAAGGTGAAGGTGGTGGTGGGAGATAAATACACACAGACCCAGACACACCTATTTTTACACAAGAAGCATACATTTTCCTCACTTTTTCTCAACATTATATCTATTTATAAAAAGAGAGAGGGAGAGGGCGAAGGAGATATTGAAAGGTTTGGAAAATATGAGCGATTTGTCCTCTGTGGAAGGGGATGAGCTGATAATGTTGGGCGCCGAAACACCCGCCGATGTGACCGCTTTCAAAGAAATAAGTGCTGACAACCGCAACTTTGAATACTACGAGCGGCAGTTTCAAGAGGTGTTGATGAGCCTTGAGAACGATGAAGTGCTGGAGGCCTTTCGCGTTGAATACGCCGCGCTCCATCATTCCTTTTTGAAGAGCCACGATGGTGAGGCGCGGCTACTGAAGAAGTGTGCAAGGCTGCAGTCTGACATCGAGTCCTGCACAATGAAGGTGCAGGCGGCGGAGGAGCTGACGCGTGGTGACAAGTCCACCATTGAGCTCCTCAAGGCGGAAATTGAGAAAACCAGGAAAAAGTCCGTCGCAACAAAGGAGCGGGAGGCGGTGCTGAAGGACAAGGTGAATGATCTCAAGCGGGATCTGCAGGACATTGAGGAGCGCGCAAGTCGTCCTGTGGAGTTAACGGCACAAGAAGCGGCGCTGCAAAGCCTCATCCGTGCTCATGAGACGGTGCTAAAGGAGAAGGAGACGATGGAATATCAACTTGCCGAGCTGCGGCAGGAGTGCGCCGGCAACGCGCGACGGCTGGAGCGGCTTTTGGAGGTGAAACGCAGCCGTGACGATGAGGTTCGCGTCGTGGGAAACGCGATAGAGGCAAAGTTAAATGAGGCGGAGGCGCATAAATCAGTGCGACTGCGTAAGGAGGAGGAGTTGCGGCTGACGCGTGAGGAGATTGCCCGCCGTGCCGCCGCGGCGCAGGAACGACAGGCAGTGATTGAACAGCTCACCGACGAAAACGCCCGTCATGATGTGGAGATCAAACTGACACTGGAAGAGACGGCGCGGGTTACAGAGTCCTACCAGCAACTTTCACGGCAGCTACAGAACGTGAACCGTACGAGTCAAGCCTGCAACGAGGAGAACGACGCGCTACAACGGCGTATGAATGAACTTATGGAGGAGCTGAAGATAAAGGAGTCGGCGGTGGAGTCCGTTAGTCGTGCCCATCGTCGGGAGAAGAAGTTATTAGAGGCTTCCACACGCCGTCATGCTGTGATGGAGGGCCGACGCGCGGAGGCGGAGGCGACACTTTCGGGCCTGCAATCGGAGTTGGGCCTGGTTGAAGAAGAAGTCGCCGCCGCCCTGCGCGCCGTTGACATGGAGGAGAGGCGAATCGCCACACAGGTGCGGGAGCTGGACGTATTACATGGTAATGTCCTTACTGCTGCTGAGAAGGCGCAACAGCAGAGTATCTGGCTTTCGGAGCAGCGCACGGAGGCCCACCATTTGGAGCATGAACTGCGCTCATACGAGGAACAGGCCCAGCGACAGAATGAGGTCATCTACAAGCTTACACGGGAGTGCACAGAGTATGAGGAGCAAATTAAGGTTGCCACCATCCAGTGCGCCCGCATTATGGCAGAGGCGCAGGAGCGCGAGGTGCAGTTGGCTGTTGCGCTGGATGAAGTGAAGGATGTGGAGTCTAGACTTCATCAGCAGCAGACTTTGCTAGAGACCATACTAAACGAGCGTAAAGCGTATGCCAAGCACTATGGGCAGGTTCGCGGGGAGCTGGCGGAGATGGTGCGTGGCTTCAAAGTGATGCTGGCGCAGATTAAACAAATGCAGGAGGAGGTGCAGCGACGCGAGAGGCGGTTGGCCGCCGAGGATGGCGTCACCAAAACTCTCACCCGGCAACGGCGAGAGCTGGAAGTTCAGATCGCCGCGCTACACACACGCTTGGATAAGCGGAGCCGATCGGTGCAACAGTACGCGCTTGAGGTTCGACGCCTCGGCGATGTCTTTGCGGAGGGTGAAGAGGAAGTGGGGCGTCAACGCCGCCGCCTCTGCGATGTACAAAAGGAGCGGGAATTCTTTGACAACGAAGTCTACTTCTCAAGCGAGGAGTTGGCGCGACTGTATGAAAAAGCACGTGTCCAACAGTCCCTTCTACAGCGTGGTGAGTCCATGTACATGGAGCGGCTGCGGACCATCAACGAGCTGCACGACGGCATCGCGCGGCTGACGGAGGAGGTAGGGCAATTACGACTTTTTGCCGAACGGCTGCCGGACCTGCGGCGACTTGTGAATGTCGCGTCCCGCGAACTCGTGCGTGAGCAGAATCGCGTGCGTGCTCTTTTGCACGAGTGTGAGCGGCCGATGAATCTCCATCCGAACCACCAGCTCTCGTCGTCAGATCCGGAGGCGTATGCGCTGACAGAAAAGGTCAACGCGCTGCAACGTGAACTCGTCGCGCGGCGCCAGGAGCTGGCGGAGAAGGAGCAGCGCATTAAGCAGCAGGAGGAGTCTTACCTGCAGTGCAAGGCGGCCGTGGCACGACAGCTTGGGCCGGAGATGGCGGAGCAGATCACGTTGTATCAGGGCAACCTGGCAAAGAAGGCGGGGCAGATGCGGGCGATGATGGCAAGCCTGAAGTACTTCCGCGAGCAGACGGAGCTTTACCAGGCGCGGTACAATGAACTACGCGACACGCTTGATGGACTCGCGCAGAAGTACGCCGAGACACGCCAAATTCGTGACCGTGACGCACAGCGCGAGGCCAGAAAGAGGCAAGGCGATGGTAAGGGTGATTCATCGCGGCAAAATGACCAGCCTGGGGTCTATGTGGGCTTCTTTGCCCCGCCACGAGGTGGTGGTCCCGCCACTAGCGTCTCGGATGGTGGCAGCGTCAGCGGAGAACGGAACGACAGTCAAAAAGAAGACGAGGGTGATGATATTGGCGGCGATGATTTGAAGATGTATGAAGGAAATGAATGGGAGGAATCCTCATTGTGAGGCATTTCTTATGTACAGTACCCGGAGAGAAGGCGATTCCAAATTCCGATATAGAAACCAACGGAGGGGGGATGTCAATTGTGGTGTTTGTAATCTGTCTTCTCTTCCTCGTGTGTGTATGTGTCTTGGGCCAGAGACGGTTTTCCCCTGGCAGCACCGCTCCCGCCCCCCCAGAAAAGTGGCCTGTATATATATGTTTGACTTCCCCATTCTTACTGCTGCTTTTTCTGCACTTTTTTCCTTACATGTATAATCCTTTTTCTTTTTCTTTTTTTTCTCTTCATCTGTTTCTTGAATTGGTGACGTTTGCCATTTTTAATAAAACATCATCAAACTGTGTAGAGGGAAAAGAAGGAAAGGACACATCAGTCAAGATACTCGCATACAATACACATACCAAATAATCCATCCATCTGTCGGTCAATCTCTTTGCACACCGGGAGAGGGTGATAGCACGGGAGGGAAGAGAAGAATAAAAATCAAAAAACTGTGAGACACATATACACGCATATATACATATATTATATAATATAAACAACAAATGATGCGTCGAATGGCTCTGCGTGGCGGGGTTGCGGCCACAGCGGCCCTGATGCGCTGTTGTGGACGTGCGACAGTTATCTCGCCGCCACTTGTAACGGCTTGTGGCATGCAGCGACGCCTCCAATCGAGTGTGGCTCCGTGGAGCAGCAACAACAACAACAACAACAACAATAACAGGAATAACAACGACAATCAGCAGCAGGGACGTACATGGGTGAATCCGCAAGCGGTACCACCGGGCGAGTTTCTAAATAAGTACGCACGCAACTTAACCGATGAGGCACGCATGGGTCGGCTGGACCCTATCATTGGCCGCGAGGAGATTATCCGACGCACCATTCAAGTCTTGAGTCGTCGCACAAAAAATAATCCGGTGCTTATTGGTGAACCCGGCGTGGGCAAAACGGCAATTGTCGAGGGACTGGCGCAGCGAATTGTGAGTGGTGAGGTGCCAGAGAGCATCAAGGGCAAAAAGGTCTTTGCTCTTGATATGGGCTCGCTTGTCGCCGGGGCGAAGTACCGTGGCGAGTTCGAGGAGCGACTGAAGGGTGTACTGAAAGACACGATTGAGGCGCAGGGAAAAATTATTCTTTTCATTGACGAGCTGCACACACTCGTTGGGGCAGGCGCCTCCGGCGATGGTTCAATGGACGCGGCAAATTTGTTGAAGCCGTCCCTTGCGCGCGGTGAATTGCACTGCGTCGGTGCGACCACACTCGATGAATACCGACGCCATATTGAGAAGGACGCCGCACTCGCCCGCCGCTTTCAATCGGTGCTCGTGACGGAGCCGACGGTGGAGGAAACGATCTCCGTGCTGCGTGGCATCAAGGAGAAGTACGAGGCGCACCATGGCTGCCTGATCAAAGACGAGGCGCTTGTGTACGCCGCGGTGAACTCGCACCGATACCTCTCCGAGCGTCGGCTGCCCGATAAGGCCATTGACCTCATCGACGAGGCCGCAAGTCGGCTGCGGCTGCAGCAGGAGTCGAAGCCGGAGCAACTTGACAGCGTCGAGCGTGAGCTTGTTCGGCTGAAGATTGAGGTGGAGGCGGTCAAGAAGGACAAGGATGAACTTGGCAAGGCGAAGCTTGAGCATTTGTATGCACGCATTGCGGGAGAGACAGGATGAGTACGACGCCCTGGAGGCGCGCTGGAAAAAAGAGAAGGCCATGTT